GGCTGTAGTGATTCTCCTGCCTCAGCCTCCCAAATAGCTAGGACTATAGGCACATGCCACCACACCTGGGTAATTCTTCTATTTTTTGTAAAGATAGCAGGGGTTCCTGCTCTTGCTCAGGTGGATGTCAAACTCCTGACCTCAAGTGATCCTCTCACCTCAGTCTTTCAGAGTACGGGATTATAGAGCCACCATGTCTGGCCACTGACATCCTGTATTGATTACTAACCTTTTCTCCTTTATTATCTTGCACCTAACTCCAACAGGTTGGCATAACAGACTCCAGGACTGTTACATCTTCCAGGTGGAATATTAAGTATATATTTCTAGAAAAGAGCCCTGCCTCAGCTAATCAGATTACTATAACTATGTGCTAGCCTTGTGTGACACATGTTGAAACCGTTAAGCTTCCCAAACTTTGGTCTATGTAAATGACCCCAAACTTGGCACTTGGAAACACTGACTTCTATTCTCCTGGATTTTGTGTTTCTAGGTGGCTGTTCCCAAACTTTGTGCTGGAATAAACTCTACATTTAATCATATTTTCTGAATCTCTTTTATTAAGGTCAATGATCTTGATTGGAAACCAATGCAATGGTGTATGACTTCTACATAGCCAGTGGCACAGCCCAAGTGACCGGGGATTCCCTCCATTTTTTTTTTTTTTTTTAGAGACAGAGGCTCATTTTGTTGTCCTTGGTAGAGTGCTATGGTGTTGCAGCTCACAGCAACGTCCAACTCTTGGGTTTAGGTGATTCTCTTGCCTCAGCCTCTCCAGTAGCTGGGACTACAGATGCCCACCACAACGCCCAGCTATTTTTTGTTGCAGTTTGGCTGGGGCCGGGTTTGAACCCGCCACCCTAGGTATATGGGGCTGGTGCCCTACTCACTGAGCCACTGGCACCGCCCAATTCCCTCCACTTTTGTGGTTACCACACTGGCCAGTGATTACTAGGGTCTCTCTTATCCAAGTCCAGAGCTATTCTGTCCAATGTGGCAGCCACTCACTATGTGTAGCTTTTTAAGTCAAACTAAATTGGGCCTGAGAAAACCTCTAGACTCACACACTTGATTCTTTACATAACAAATTGCAACCCAACTAACTATGCAAAAATCTGAAAACCTCACTAAAGAATATGTGTCTGTAACAAATAGCTGAAGTCTCAGCTAATCACAGCAGCTGTGCTTTAGCCAATCACAGATGGCCAACTATTCAAACTGTGTTCAAATGATGCAAAGGCTGAGCTGTACCCAATCCACATATTTCTATACCTCACTTCTCTTTTTCTGTATGTCATTTTCTTTTTTAGGTACTAAAATGGTACCAGATCATGTGGCAGCCCTGGACTCTTTCTGAACCTGTTCTAATTCTGGTGGCTGTCTGATTCATGAATTGTTCTTTTGCTCAAATAAACTCTATTAAATTTAAGATGTCTAAAACAGAAGTTAGTAATAATGAAATAAGATTAAAAAGTTACATTTGAGTCCCACTAGATACATCTCAAAGGCTCAATAGCAATGTGTGATGAGTGACTACTGTGCTGGCCAGTATAGGTAGAAAGATCTACCCTCTTCACAGTAAGTTCTCTCAAACAGCTCTGCTCTAGACAGTGAACTCTGAAGAACTTGAAATTATCTGACTCATTTTTGTACAGCAATTGTTACTAGCACTTTCTAGGCCTGCCTCTGCTTCTTCCCACACTAACTTCTCACTCTGTTGAGAGACAAATGAGGTAGGAAGGGTTCTCTCTGCATTAAGAGGGAGTGAGTCTTTAATTTCTCCAAGTGATAACTCCTAGTAACAGGTGAAGGCTGATGCAGTCAACAACAGAAAAAGTCCAAGTTCAAAGGTCTCCCAACTTTGACAAAAGTGAGAACAAAATTTGCCAGAACTTCATTTTCCATACAGATTTTTCAAAGTGATCATCTCTCCATATTCTGCATATAAATTACAATATATTGTACTTACTCATAACATTGCTAGATTCCAGATTTGTCATAAATTTATTTCCAACATGAGTTTCAGTGTGAAAATGAGTCTCTTGAGAAAGACTACCACATGCTACTTTTTTTTTTTTTT